TGGGTCCTTCATTAAAACGTGGCCACGGTCCAAACATATTTACGACCCACGAGGTCTAACAAAGGGCACGATCCCCATATAAAAATCTTGAGAGCCTGATCCCCTCCTCAAGTACATCACGTACAAAGCTATATGTAAACACTTACAAGCAACGCGTCACAACATTGACAATGTCGATAAATAACAACTCCCACGAGGAGAATACTCGCTCTGTGCTACTACATTATCACGAGACAACTCCCACGAGGAGATAACTCGATCAATTCTATTACCCCACGACGAGACAACTCCCACGAGGAGATAACTTGATCCGAGCTATCACATCATCGCGGGACAACACCGACGACTCAAATAACTTACATCGCGACAACTTGGTTGCGCTACGCGCCAACGCACCTTCACGCCCCTCCGACACACGCTCCGATGCGTTTTCGCACACCATCGACTACTACAATTTTTACTCTTGACACGATATGTCGCCCATTTCAACATGGCCCCCACATCGACTCGAGAGTGGGGGGCTTAATGATATGCCTAATTGGCCCAACCCAATGGGCCTACAAATTATTTACGTACTGGGCCACGAGCCCAATATCGAAGACCACTATCACCGATGTCCAATTACCTTCAAGCAAGGTTTGGGCCTGACAATCTCAACTAAGCTATAAATACACCTTTTAACTCATTCCATAAGGTACGTCCTATTAACTGAGCAATACTACAATACGTATTCTCTGGACTATTTCTATGATCAGCACGTCTGACTTGAGCGTCGGAGGGGTTTCCGCCGGATCAACCCCCGGCGTAGTTCACGTGTGTTCATTTCGCAGGTACCTCAGGATCATCAAGTTGTCAAGCTACTGATCTGCTTTGCTCTCCCAGTTCGTTTTCTACACTACCCCAGGTGATCTAAGTAATTAGCATCATCAATATATATAACTTGAACAGGAAATGTACACAGATATTTGATGAGCACTGCGCGTGTGTTTGCAGGTTAATGATTATTTTCACAATTACAAAGATATAATAAAACATTTCTAATATATATATATATATATATATATATATATATATATATATAATAAATCATTGGATTTTTTGCAAAAATTACCCCTATGTAATCTCTAATTGGTAAAAAAATCCATGTTAAAAGATTTAGTAAGAAAATCCATGTGAAAAATAGTCAAAGTCAAACAAACCCTAACAACTTATCATGTAATGCACGCACGATGCGAGGGCAGAGGTCTATTTTTGACTTGAAAAGTCAAAAATACCCTCTAACATTCTTTTTGGTTCTTTTTTTTTTAATAATATTTATGTTGTAAGGTAATTGGTCATTTCGCACAAGTCAACAATAAATTAGAAATAAGGACCGATCTGCTTTAAAAAAACACAACATGGGGGACTTTCTGCTAATTGTTTTAACATAAGGGGTTTTTGAACAATTAGAAACAACACAGGGAGGTATGTGCTATTAGCTCTAAATCATAATATAAGGAGTTAAATAAAGCCCGACCCAACAAAATCTGGCCCAATTTGTAGCCCAAGCCCCAAATAAAGCCTATAAATATTCCGCAAAGAGAAAAATTTTCTTCTTTCTTCATTCGATTTCAGGAAATACGGGCAATTGAATAATTGATCAATATTTTTCTGGATAAATTCATCGATCAGGAAAAAGGTTTCGATTCGATGGAGACGATTGAATCCGGTACCCACCAAGTGTTTGTGAAATTGCTCGACGGAAAGCACAAGATTTTTAATTTCACAGCCCCCTCAATCTCCGTCGCCGCCCTCAAGCAGCGTATTCAGACGATAACCTCGGTCCCCTCCCACCTCCAGCTACTCCTATCCAACGATTCTAAGATCATCCATGACGATCAAACCCTAAAATTGGACCAAACCCGCGCTCATCTCGGACTTTCCGAAACCCTAGATCCCAATTTCAGTACCCAATTTCCCGTGGTGGTGCATCTGTTGCTGAGGCTTAGGGGTGGTAAAGGAGGGTTTGGATCTCTGCTGAGAGGGGCGGCGACCAAGGCGGGGCAGAAGAAGACGAACAATTTTGATGCTTGTAGGGATATGAATGGACGGAGGCTGAGACATGTGAACGCAGAGAAGAAGCTGGAAGAGTGGAGAGCTGAGGCGGAAGAGAGGAACCTGGAGAAGATGGCGGATGCTTACATTAAGAAGAAGACAAAGGAGTTGGTGAAGAGTGGTAAGAGTAATGGTGGTTCTAGTGCTGATAAATATGTGGCTAAGTATAGGGAAGATTCAGCTAAGTGTATGGAGGAGGTCAAAAGATCGGTCATGGAGTCGGTTAAGGGGTTCAAAAGCTCGAAGAGGAAGAGTGGCGCAGAGGGAAATGGATCCGATTCGAAGCGATTGAAGATATGGTATGGAGTTTAAAAATAACAATTGTACTGTTTTTCTTTATTTTGTGTTTTTTGATATAAAAATTTATGTGAATCTTGATGTTGTAGTCCACAAATATGAGGTTGGGTTTGTGAATTGTGATATAATTGCCTAATTGGGGGCTTACTGTGAAATTAGTTGTGTATAAAGCTTTACTGAAATTGTTCGATTGATCTAAAACTTTATCTTGAAACTGGATCCGTGATCCATGAGTGTTATCTTTGCTCTAGATATTAGAACCGATGGGATTCTACTTCGTGATGAATTCACCCTTTAATAATGACTATTTTCAGGTATGGGAAGAGAAAGTTGGATGATAGTGACAGTGAGGATTGTAGTGATGATGACGAACAAGAAGGAGAGGATCAGAAATCTGTTATTATAGATACTGTGAGTCGTTCAGATTCAAGCAAAGAAGCAGAGGGAAGTTCAGGGTCGGTTACTGGTGAGAAAGTTGATCCCACATCTCTCGATCAAGGTTCGTCTGGTAGTGGCTCCGAGGGAGAAGAAAATGTTGGTGAAGAATCTTCTAGACCCGGTAAAAGTCTGGAAGTATGTGGAAATAGTGATGATGGCGCAGACGGAAGAAAAAATAATCCTTCTTTAGAGATTCTTGAAGACAAAATAGACCATAATGAAGTTGATATAAAGTTGGCTCTTGAATCTGACTCTGGCAAAGTGGAAGAAACAGTCAATATTGCCACAGTCGAGCCAATTCAAGAAGAAGCAGTGTCTGTGAATGAGAAGGTTACGGACTTGGATAAACCACTGAACTTTGATGAGTATCATTCAGCATCGGAATTAGAGGTATGTTGGTGGTGAGATTAGTCCTTTTTTTATTTTCCGATTTAATTGTTTGAATTTATTTTTAACGCAACCATGACTGGCTATAGGTTCTGGGCATGGAGCGATTGAAAGTGGAACTTCAAGCCCGAGGATTGAAATGTGGTGGTACCTTACCAGAACGTGCAGCGAGACTCTTCCTGCTCAAAACCACGCCATTGGAGATGCTTTCAAAGAAGTTATTCGCCAAGAAATGAAAAGTATAGTGTATATATATCTTATCTTAAATGTACCAAATTTCATTTCTGAATTTATGTTCTAGTAGAAATGTACTTCCTCTTTCTCGTTAAGATACTGTTGTAAGTTTTTGACATGTTTCTCAAGTTGTAGGCAAAACAAATTGGATCCGTTTGTGTAATTCGTACCATTTCAATCGAATTGTATTTGATTGATTATTGTTTCTATCTATTTTGAATGAAAATAGTGCTCAATTATTTGTGATCGGTGCGTTTACAATGTTCTGTACTAGAAATCAAAATATACAAAAAAAATGGAACATCCTGTTGAAAAATGTTACAAATCGATGTCGGAAAGAACTGTTCTGCAAACTGGACAGGTTCTGTTATTTTTTAACCATATTTCAATGCAGTCGGCATGGAAATAATGTTGACATTTGGTAATGTTTTTTATTAGTTCTTGGGGATCACAGCTATCTAAGCATATGGAACAGGTATAAGAATCTAGCTCTGAATTTATTCTGTATTCACTAAGAATTACCAATTCTGTGCA